ATGATCCTTCTGATCCAAGCCCCTAATCTTCTTTCTCAACTCATGGGCCTCTGCATCATTACCCTTTTGAGAATACATCTAAGCTGTAGCTGTCCAAATCTTGTGAGTAGAATCCAATAAGAGAAAAGTCCGACTAATGGTAGGCTCCATAGAGTTGATCAGCCAGGTCATAATTAAAGCATTCTCAGAAATCCATTGAATGGAGAAAGCTTCATCTGCATCAAGTTGCTTGATGCTATAGGTAATACAGCCAGTCAAACAACGGGTGGCGATAGAAAGACTACAGGAACGGGACCAAATCAAGTAATTGGTACCATTAAGCTTGACAAGGCTAATTTAGAGAGGACTATCACCAAGAGTCATACCACGACTCAGCCCACTCTCCTCCTTGCCCTTAGATGCCTGATCCTCGCTTTCAGCCATGTGATAAGAGAAAGAAGGTGCAAAAACACAAGTTGGATATCAAACAAATCTAGAAAACACCCAACCAACACAGCAACTCACCTTCAGAGGCTGAAACAGTGGAAGATTACCCCAGAACAAAGGAACCAGATCAACTTGAAGCAAGAAAACCAAAGCAGACCATTCAAAACTTAGAAAAATTCAAATTAAGTACCAAAAAATCTCAAAACATGGACAGCAAACCCCTATAGGGTTCCACTTGGCTCCCAAGGAAGAGAGGGGGAGGGAAAAATCTAGCCAAAAGGAGCTCAAGTAAAGACTTTCCAAAAATCACCCAGTTTTGATGAAAAATTGAAAAAATTAAAACACAAATCAAGCAATGAGCAAAAAATTAAAAGAAAATTATAGGGTATAAACCCATTAAATTTCGAAAGGAGGAATATGTTGCTCGAATACCATGTTGAATGCATAAAAGAAGTTAAACAACGAGAGAGAGAGAGAGAGAGAGCGGCTGCTAAAATAATATTGAACAAAAACTTAGGGTTCACCCCTTACACACAACTATTTATAATAATAATAGGAAGACACAAATTACATAACTACCCTGACACTTTACAAATACACTTCAATGGAAAATGAATCAAGTGTGTTTAATAATTACAATTTATACCACCACTACCCCACTATCACCATCAGCACCATCTCGTTGCCACCAACACCACTTTGCCACCACCACCAACATTACCCATACCCTACCACCACTACCACTGATCTGCAGCCACCACCATCCCATCATCACACAACCACCATTGCCACCAACATCACTCGTACCTTGCCACTGGTCTGCCACCACCATCCTACCATCACGCATGTTAAGTTATGTACTTGAGGGTATTAGTGTTATTGTACTTATTCTCTTATTATTATAAATACAAGTGTTTAGTGAGGTAAGAAACCTAATTAGGTTTTGTGCCTCCTCTTCCAGCAAATCTCTCTCTCTCTCTCTCAATTATTATGCTACAATTTCTCTCAACTATTATGCTACAGTTTTAACTTGATATCAGAGCAGGTTTTGATTTTTTGTTCTTTTATTTTTTTTTTTCCCTTTATTTTTTTACTCCTTCTGTTCTTGTTCCATTCCTGTTGCATAATGTTAAAAAAAAAAAAAAAAATCCCTACCATGATTCACTAGGGTAGAGGAGTTCTCAGAAAAATTTTCAAAATTTTTTGGTCTTGGGTGCCTAGTTTTTCCAATTTTGCTTTATTTCTTGGAAAAACAAGCCTATTTTTCAATTTCTACCTTTTGGTTGTTTTTGCTACAATCCAACCCTTGGGCTACCTTCTCTAGCAATAGACTGGGGGAGGAAGGCCCTCGGCAGGACCTGGAGAAGCCTGCCGAGGGGAAGAGAAGAAGAAGGAAGGGCTCTCGGCGCTGGTGGTGAGCTGTAGGGAGGCTGTCGGCATTGATGGTGTGGTGTAATGGGGTTGTCAGCTCTGGTGGGGCAGAGGGGCTGTCGGTTTGGCTGGGTGAGTTACAAGTTTTTTTGGGGCACTAGGGAGGCAAACAGGAACAGTTGTGTGGGATGGGTAGGGAAGAGGAAGAGAGAGCTTAGGTATGGCTTTGATACTATGTAAGTTTAGAGAAGAGAAAGAGATAGGGAATGAATGAGACCCCATCCCCTTTTATATTGATAATAATATGTAATTACAGGAGTGCCATTAGGTATAAATTATGGGCCAACCCATTACATCAATCAAGGGAAATTAAATCAAATAAGAATACAATATAACAAATATTATTTTCTATTCTAACACTATTGAAGATAGAAGGTCTACCACTGGCTATTGTACATTTGTAAGGGGGAATTTGGTAACTTGGCAGAGTAAGAAGCAGTCAGTTGTAGCTAGATCGAGTGCGGAAGCGAAGTATTGTGCCATGGCACGTGGCATTTGTGAGTTGATGTGGCTTAAAATTTTACTGTCTGATCTCGGGTTGTTGAGTGATGATCCTATGTGACTGTATTGTGATAATAAGGCCGCTATTAACAGTGCTCATAATCCAGTTCAGTAGGATAGTACTAAGCACATCGAGATTGATCAACATTTTATTACGGAGAGTATCTAGTGGCATCATTTGTTTATTTTTTGTCACATTGTTTATTTTTTGTCACATCCAAAAATCAGTTAGGTGATGTGTTTACCAAGGGGTTGGGGAGTAATATGTTTCATCCTATTGTATGCAAGTTGGGTATGCGGGACATTTATGCACCAACTTGAGGGTGAGTGTTAAGTTATGTACTTGAGGGTATTAGTGTCATTGTACTTATTCTCTTATTATTATAAATACAAGTGCTTAGTGAGGTAACAAACCTAATTAGGTTTTGTGCCTCCTCTTCCAGTAATCTCTCTCTCTCTCTCTCTCTCACTCACAACTATTATGCTACAGTTTTAACTACGCAACCACCACTGCCGCTATCACCAATACACGACCACCCCCTTTGCCACGTCTACCCCACTAAAACACAACCACCACCACAACTATCACCACCACTCCACCAACAATATGGAGAGTGGAAGAGAAAATTGAAAATAAATAAATCACACCTCAAGTTTTAATGCTTAAATTATAGTACATATCAAACAGTTTTTCATATTAAAAATTCAGCATTCGATTTTCAGTGCTTAATTTACAGTATTCAATTCTATCAAATGGCACTAAAGAGGATGTAGACTTTATGTTATTTCATTAAAGGAATTCCTGTAATTTCTCAGACTATTTAATATAAATACATAGGTCGAGGGATGAGTGAGTGTAACTCATTCTAAAACCCTATTTTTGTATTACGTTCTTTTTCCCATCTTTTCTTTTCTACTTGCAACTTGGTATCCGAGCCTCTGATTGAGTCTAATCATCTTCATATGCACTAAAACTTCATATATATATATATATATATCAGAGCCAATTGTACTGCTAAAGTCAGCAACAGAGGGCTGAGGTAGACATCATCCTGACGCCATGCTGACATTAGCACGAACTTGACGTCATTGATTCCAGCTTATACCATTGGATTCACTTTCTCATCTAGGTATCATGTATTTTTTATGGAATTTTTTGAAGCCACTGGTAGGTTTTTTTATTTTTTTGGGGGATTTTTGCATCTTTTTTCAATTTACCTGCTGGAGAGTTTTTTGGAGGATTGATCACATCACACAGAATATATTAGTGTATATATTGCACATATTTGAGATTGTGTAAATATTCCGTGTAATTTAGCATTATTCGCATTTCCTTTTTAGTCTTAGGGTTAGAGTTCTATATAAGATGTTGTACTCTTTGCATTACAATTACAATTGAATATACAAAAATCATTCGGAAATCTTACACCCACCTCTACCTTACGTGTCGACTTTAACTTCAGGAGTCTAGAGGCTTTTCTAATGGTTTCGATTGACGCCCATGTGTTTTGGTATCAGTACACTTCTCTAAGGGTTTTTGGTAGGTTGTTTTCGCTTGGTAGTATGTCTTTGGCTCTATTTCTGATCTATGCCTAGCTCTATTGGTTGGTACAAGTTCTGGGTTAATTCTTGCTCAAAGTGTGTTTAGCCTGTGAAGTTGCTTTTTGGGTTCACTGTTTTTTGTTGGCTATTTTCTGTGAATATACATTGTGGTTGTGTTATCCCTGATTTGTAGACATGTCAAAAACGAGTACTAGTGTTACTAGTGTTGAATTGGGTTGGGACTGTTCCTGATAACCCCTCTTCAAATTAGTCCTTTTAATTTGGATGGCAACAAATACTTATCTTGATCAAGGTCTTGTGGTTTATTGATTTCTGCTTGAGGCCTCACTGGATATATTACAAGGGAAATGATGGAGCCGGAAACAGATGGCCCTTTGCAGAGTCAATGGCGTTAAGAGAATTCATTGGTTATGTCATGGTTATTTACTTCTACACAACCATATATTACTCGTGATTTTTACTTCTTGATACAGCATGTCAGATTTGGAATGTTGTTTGCTCAGACTTATTCAGAAGTGGGTAATGATGCTTAAGTCTATGAACTACGAAAGGTTCATGAAATGAAACAACGGGATATGAAAGTTACCCAGTACTATGTAGAGCTTAATAGTCTTTTAGCAAGAGTTAGATTATTATCAGGATTTTCAAGCAAATTGTCCATCTGATGCTATCAGGTTTCAAAAATTAATTGATAAGGAGAAGTTTTATGATATATTGAACGTCTCAAGAATGCACAAAATAATGTTTCCATCTTGCAAAATCATTTGACGACTCCATTTGAGTTTTCACTGACTTAAATACTTAGTCCTATTTTTTGAGCCAAACTGTCTTCTAAAACATGTGCAGTTCTTTAGATATGCAAATCTATCTACACAATCGCTAGCTCAAGTGTGGGCTTTTTTTTTTTTGTAACTCTGCTAAATTTTGTAAGGAGATGAATTAGGGAGTTATCAAATGAAAAATTAGGATTACTACTTCATATTGTAAAAACCAAACAAATTAATTCATAGGACATGCATAGAATCTCATTAAACACAAATTAAGTAAAAGGAGAATAAAAAAGACGTACTTATACATACCTCAAGATTTAGAATGAGAATGAATGGGAGTTTTTTCCCAGCTTCTGACTGGAATTGAAGAAACAATGTTAGATACAAACAAAAACCATCCAAAACTTGATTTCTCAAATGAAGTACACGATTTCTCAAATCAAATTGGACCATTTTTCATGATGTAAGAAAACTTGTGTCTATACTTTCAAGATTAATAAACTATAGTTTGGAGATTCTTTGGTACTAAAGAAAAGTATATTAGAATTGGACTTTATAGTTAATGTGAACTAAAGGTAGTTTAGAAATTAAAATAATGCCAAAACTTTTATTGAATTTGATCTATTATTCTACGAATAAGTTATGAATTAATTTTATTAATTTCATTTAATAATTGTTTTCATAGGTGCTAACATAATGCCAATATTTCCTGGTTAATAGATAATTTGATAGTTAAGCACTTTTCTTAATGTATCAAATCTTAGATAAATATCTATAAATTTTGGTGTAGAGTAAATATAACAATAATTATTAAACCTTTACATCAAATAATACAACCACAAAATTATAAAGTATTAATTTATTATAATTACTATATAATAACGTAAGGAGGGGGAGAAAATGGTTCTAGGCCTCTTGCTTAGTGGGGGAGGTATTCACTTAAAAAATAACATTAATTCTCTGGATAAATAAAGTTAAAAAGGAGTCAAATAATAGTTACAAATATTTGTCAAAATAATAGTAATTAATAATAATAGCGACAACAATGATAGAAAAAGGACAAGAACAAGAAATTGAAAGGGCAAAAAAAAAAAAAAAAAAAAGGCCTTGGCGTACCCATGGCGTACCCAAAAAAAAGAAGAAAGCAACGTGTTAAAAGTGGGACCATTTACATTTATACTAAGACATATATACCTCATTAAATAAATGAATGAAATAAAAAGGAGAAGAAAACAAAAGAAGTGAAGCGTGTCACACGAAGTTCAGAATGAGAGACGAAGAGAGCAAGTGTGACTGATTAAGGGTTTCAGTCTTCTGGTAAAGCATAAAGAAAGGAAGAAAAAAGAAAAATGCACCTAATAAGGACATGAACACCAGCACCAAGCCCTCAAGCTTTGATCTAAAAAAATCCTTTTTTGTCTTTTATCTTGTAAATCTAAGCTTTTAGTGAATCCAATTGTCATGTCAATCCTATCAAAAAGTTTCAACCAAAAGGAAGTTATTTATGTCGAAACAAACTGATGTTACTTGGAGCACAGATCTTTATAATAGTGAAACAAGAAAAAGAATGTGGTATGATAGGGGTAAACTTGTATAGATTACACTATTTGAATTTGAGGTACATCTAGAACAATTTTATTATAATAATTAGACATCGAATAATATAGTTTTTTTTTATTTAAAAAATAAATAAATAATCATGAACAAACACATCTTAAGAGCATTATAGACTATTTTTTTTAATTTTGTCCTTCCAAAACTCCACTCTCCCTTTGAAGGGGATAACTTTTCCTTCAGTTGCATGGGGTTGTTCTATACAACCAATTTATTTTTAAAAAAATCCATAAAAAGAAAAAAGAGGCCAATCTAATCATCACCAGTTATAAACTACTTCTCTTTTCATAGAAATTACCCCTCGAAGAGAAACAACAAATTCTGCTCAGAGTAGAACAAAAATTAGCAAGAGTGTCTTCGCCATATTCAAAGTCACAAAAGAAAATAAACACTGAAATCTACAGTTTCATTTACAAGTTCAAGTTTCCAAAAAAAAAAAAATAATAATAGTAATAATGATGATAATAACAAAATAAATGAAATAATTGAAAAAGAAGGAAGAAATACAAGAAGAGAAATGCATATATAAGGTGTTAGATATTGTCCTTAGAAGTCATAGGGTTTTGGAGTCCCTCCATGTGAATTTGCGATTTTATTACCCTACAACATCAGCAAAACTTGGCTTCTTCTGAAAATTGGAATAAGTTTGTAGTAGTATGGATACCAGTATTTGAATGACATGGCATATGAAGAAATTATTCCAGAATCTCACCTATCATACGAGCAAACTGGAAATTAGAAAATCTATCCCTTACCTGAACAAGAGAGCTGGGATGCAATGCAACCTTACTGATGCAATTTTCAACTTTAAACCAGTCAACTGCTATGAGCTTTAGAAGCGGATCTCCTCCCATAACCTGAAAAGGTCAGATACAATGCTATCAATTTCAGCAAAAGTGATTTTTGACCAAATCCCCAGAAGCTTTATTCTTCAAAGTGAAGAAAAAAAGAAAAAAAAGCACTTCCAACTGTAAAATTTACTGGAATCCAAATAAGACAACCTTTTTTCTAAGTCGTAAAATATTATAAAAATAATCATAGCATCATTGGCTATCTCAAGATTTTTCACATTTAACAAGATGCCCAAGAATTCAAATTTGGTCATGCTCTTATGCATAGCAATGACGAAGAAAAAGAATGCATCAGGGAAATGCAGGCCTTTTGGGGCCCATGATAGAAACTAAATATGAGAAATTTTCAAAAAAGAAAAAGATAATGCATCTCAGAGTGACAATATATTGAAACTACTTATTCGTCTCTGGACTACATTCAAACAAATGCAATCATTCTGAAGTACAAAAAAATACCCACCTTCGAATTATCTTTCAGATATGTCTTCCCTCTGATCATAAATCCTGTACCACTTGGAGATGTCCAACAATTAGTATCGGTCTCATCCTTCCCTTGGCACATGGACCCATGATAGTTGGTTGGATCAAGAATGATCGGAGGTACAGTTGTATCCAATTCCTTTTTCAAACCTGGAGCTGTATCCAAGGATAAGTAAAATGTTCCATAAACAGGTTAAGTCTAAGGGATAAGAAATGACATATGCATTAATACTTGAAGCTTTATGTTACAAGCATGGCACATAAGCCGGAACACAGAAATATCATCTGAGAAAATTATAAACGGCAACCATAAGATAAAGAATCACATGAGAATACCCAATTGTATATTAATTCAATTGTTTTCAAAATTACAAAGAAATCATATTAGGTAAATGATGAAATGATAAATAAAGCATGTGTTTGAGTAAACTACCAGAATGACCACTCCCTATATTCCATGCATAAGCTGTCAAGTGTCAACAGTCAAGTTGGACATAAGAAATCAAGAGAGTTTATGCATTAATACTCCCATCTATTGCAGCATATTTGCTTGTGACATAAATATGAATAGAACAGTCAATAAAAACACTTGTATAAATAACATAAACTAGTGTGACAAAATAGAAGTGGCAAAACTGGTTGATGTGCAATTTTATAAAATGTTTAATGAAGAGAAGGGGACCTGAAGTTCGCTTCAAAGCCAAGCCCACAATAGCCCATGAGATGTTTTTCAGCTTCATCTTTTTGTCCTGATAAAGAACATTAAATAGATTCAAACCAAAAGGCCTTCAATATAAACATCACTTAATGAATATGCATTAATCAAAAACTGACAGTATCCAATCTACAACAAAAAGAAAGCAGAAAGAACACAAACCTTATTGTCAGCTTCTTCTTCATTGTCACCATCTTCATCATCAGACGATGAATCATCAGCAATTGCATCATAGAACTCATCAGCAACTTCTGAATCCTCATATTCACTATTAGATGAAGAAAAATCGGAAATTTTTGAATGGACAAATGTGGTCGAAGATTCAGAAATGAGTGATGGATTTCCTCCGATATATTCTTTTAAACCTGGCAGATCACAACCCAAAAAACATCATTTCAAGTGTGATAAAACAGTTTTGCTATTGTACAGCTTACAAAGTATCATGGATATTATCCAGCAATTCCACAACATGATCTAGTAATGCATATATTGATGCTAAAAATCAGTTTATCCCATGAACCCATTCTTGTTATTCTGACTCAACATGATCTTCATTGATCCTTGATAGGGAACAATGTTCCTTTATATTTTGTATGAATTTTCAGGCTAAGAAGCATAGACATGGACACGCCGACACGTTAATTTTCAAAAAATGCAGGACATGACACGTGTGGGACACGCATAAAATATATAATTTTATATATTTATTATATGTTATATATATAAATATATCATTCAAAGATAATAAAAAATGCAATATGACACTAATTACTATAAATTTATATGTGTTTTGTTTTATTATCGTATCTTAAGTTGTTTTGTTCAAACTTATAATTAATTTCACATGTATCTAATCGATAGACACGTGTGTTTAAGCGATTGACATGTGTGTCCTCCAAGTGTCCAAAGAGTGTCTGGGTCTTTAAAAAAATTTTAAAAATATGACACGTTTTGAAGAGTGTCGGACACGTGTCCTAAAAGAGTGTCGGTGTCCGGTGTCCGACACCGACACGACACGGATACGTTACCTTCTTAGAAGTGTCTGTGCTTCTTAGTTTTCAGGTATAAACTTTAAAGGTCGTGAAATATTTTAGCATACAAGTATAATACAGCATTACTGACTCAATAGGGCGGAGAAATTAAACTCACTATCTTGTTCTTTCTTTCTTTCACTCCTTTCACTCACTTTTTAGTAGTCCCTATGAGAATATTGTAGATATTTTCTAGATAATATTCTATAGATATTGTAGATATTCTGGAGATTATGAGAATTGTTAGAATAATATTTTGTTTTATACTTATTCTATTTTAGCTGTCATTCGTTGTAGTTTCCTTATTATGTTTTTTCCTTATCTATGCCTCGAGGCTTTCATTGTAAGCTACATAATATCAATATAAAAGCGGATGATTGTCTCATCATTCCCTAAGTTAGTTTTCTCCCAAACAAACATGGTGTATCAGAGCCATAACTTCAAAGCACCGAGCACCATTGATCCTGGTTATGACCAATGGGAGACTACAAATTCGTTGATTATGGGATGGTTTATTCATTCCATGGTTCCTGATATTGGTGAGGGGTACTTGTCCATGGATACTGCTCAGGATATTTGGAAAGTTGTTGCCACCATGTATTCACGCAAAGAAAATTTCTCATAGACATTTGAGTTGCGTCGTTCTATTGAGCGATTAGTACATGGGGAGATAACTGTCCTTCAATACTTTACTTTCCTTACCAATGGCTGGAAACGTCTTGATCATCTACAGGATTATAAGGCTGTTTGCACAACTGATTCAATGGGTTACCGAAAGTTTATTGAACAAGAAAGGGTCTTCAAATTTTTGGAAGGTCTCAACATAGATTTTGATGCTATTAGGAGTTGTGTCGTTGGTATGGATGTTCTTTCTTCCCTTCAGGAGGCTTTTGCTTATGTACAAAATGAGGAGAGTTGTCGTTTTGCTATGCTGCCACCTACCTCTACAGAGCGCTCAACCTTACTTTCTGCTCCTCCTAGGGATGGTACTAGTCTGTCTTGTACTTCACCTAGTCCTTCAAAGAAGGATACACTGTTCTGTGATTATTGCGGCCAGTCGAGACATACCTGTGAGACTTGTTGGAAGCTTCATGGGATTCCTTCTAATGGTCGTGGTGACCATTCTGGTAGTCGTGGGGGTTGCTCCGGACGGTCTCGAGGGCACGGGTTTAATCCACATGCACATCATACCAATGCAGTAGATACTCCTAACGCCTTTTCAGTTGCTCCTCCTAGTGGTGATATATCTGGTATGTCTTCTTTTGAGTTAGAGGATGCTTTGCGCCACCTGTTGGATTGTCATTATTCTACTACTCCATCAAGTACATCCCCTTTGTATTTTGCCCATTCAAGTAACTTAGCCACTTCTCCGAGTGCTTTCCTAACTCATCAGTCTTTACCTTAGATTATTAATTATGGTGTCTTAGATTAGATGTCTGGGTCTTTCGATCTGTTCTCAAAATATAAGCCTTCTTTAGATCAGAACAAAGTTAGGATTGTTAATGGTACTATTTTTTCTATTTCTGAGAAAGGTTTAATCTATGCCACTCTTTCTCTACCATTATCTTCTGCTTTGCATGTCCTCAATTTCTCTATTAACCTTTTGTCATTGAGTCGTCTTACTCATAACCAAAACTGTAGTAAGACTTTATTTCCTGATCATTATCTGTTTCAAGACCTTATCACGAGGAAGATGATTGGCAGTGGTAGAGTAGAACATGGCCTCTATATCCTAGATCAGGCAGACAAGCTAGCACATCCTCCCATCAAGTTGGCCCATCATTCCATCAAGTTTCCAACCACCAAGGAAGACCTGTGGCTGTGGCATCAGTGTCTTGGGCACCTATTGTTTCTATTACTTAAGCATTTATTTCCCTCTGTTTTTACAAACAATAATATCTCTGAGTTTCATTGTGAGTCTTGTCAACTTGGGAAACAACACAGAGCTTCTTTTACGCCAAGTTTTAATAAAAATTTAGTACCTTTTTCCTTAATTCATTCTGATGTTTGGAGTCCATCTCGTGTTGTGTCTTTAAAATATCATAGATGGTTTGTTACTTTTATTGATGTTTTTTCTCGTGCTACTTGGGTATATCTTATGAAAAACAAAAATGAAATTTTTTCTGTGTTTCGTAACTTCCATCAAATGATTTGTACTCAATTTGGAGCAGTTGTCAAAATATTATGTTCAGATAATGGGGGTGAGTATATTGATTCCGGTCTAGTGAGCTATTTTTCCACCCATGGCATTATTCATCAGACTTCTTGCACCAACACCCCTCAACAAAATGGAGTTGCGGAACACAAGAATCATCATCTTCTTGACGTGGCTCGTTGCATGTCTTTTTCTATGCATATGCCTCAGTCTTACTGGGGGGACGCCGTTCTCACTACTGCCTACCTCATCAACCATCTTCCAACCTAGGTGTCGCACAAAAAATCTCCTCTCCAAGTTCTTTTAGATTTTGAGTCTGTGTTCTCTATTCCCCCCCTACCAAAGTCTTTGGTTGTGTCTATTTTGTCCACAATCATGCTCCTTCTCGTGGTAAGTTTGATCCCCGCTCTCTGAAGTGTGTCTTTCTGGATTACTATCCTACGCAAAAGGGTTATAAGTGTTACTGTTAACTTTAGAGAGGAAGAAGAAGAAGAAGAGTGAGAGAGAAAGAGAGAAACAACTGTCAAAATATTATTATTCAATCACAGGGTTTTACATCATAAGCACATATATTTATACTAATGAACACTATAAGTACCAAACTACCCTCACATAACACTTAACACTCCCCCTCAAGTTGGTGCAAATATATCTCTCAGGCCCAACTTGCAACAAATAGGGTGAAAGACCTTATGACTAAGACCTTTAGTAAATATATTACCCAATTGATCTTCGGACTTCACATAATGCATACATATCAAAACCTTATTTAGTTTCTCCTTAATGAAATGTCTATCGATTTCAAAATGCTTAGTCCTATTATGCTGAACAGGATGGTGAGCAATACTGATGGTTGCTTTGTTGTCACAATACAATGTCATGGGCTCACCACCAATGATTTCGATATTACCCAACAAGGACTGAAGCCATGTAAGTTCACATGTACCATGTGCCATAGCTCTATATTTTGCTTCTGCACTAGACCTAGATACCACTCCCCGCTTTTTACTAAACCAGATGACTAGATTTCCCCCCACAAAAGCACAGTAATCAGAGGTAGATACTCTGTCATCTATAGAGCCTGCCCAATCCGCATCTGTGAATACTTCTAGCCTTAAGTGACCATGATTAGCAAACAAAATCCCTTTGCCTGGGGCTGATTTAAGTTACCTCAAAATGTGATGCACATCATCCAAATGAGTGGCACAAGGCTTGTGCATAAATTGACTCACTATCTCGACCGCCGAGTGTTGGATAGATAAATCAGTCTTCCCACAAGTCTCTGGTACCTGTCCTTCTCCACAAGTTTACCAGTACCATTACAAAGATGATGATTAGCCTCAATGGGCGAATTAGCTGGTTTGCAGCCCAACATGCCAATTTCCCCAAGAAGATCTAAAATGTACTTCCTTTGAGAAATAAAGATGCGTTTGTCAGATTTGGCAACTTCAATTCCAAGAAAGTATCTCAATGCGCCGAGGCCTTTGATCTCAAATTCCTTGGCCAATTGCATCTTAAGATGTGTCTGTCACAACTATGTCATCCACATATACCATAAGCACAGTTATCTTATTTGCATTGTGTCTGACAAACATAGTGTGATCTGCATTGCTTTGCTTATACCCAAATCTCAACATAGCCTTTAAAAATTTGTCAAACCAAGTTCGAGGAGACTGTTTCAAGCCATATAAAGCCTTATTCAACCTGCAAACTTTGCCAACTATAGACTGAGATAAGAATCCTGGTGGTATATCCATATACACCTCCTCCTCTAAATCACCATGAAGAAATGCATTCTTCACATCCGATTGTTGTAAAGGTCATCCCAAATTAGTAGCACATGAAAGAAGAGCTCGAATGGAATTCATCTTTGCTACAGGAGCAAAGGTTTCTTGATAATCAATTCCATATGTCTAGGTAAATCCTTTGGCCACTAGTCGTGCTTTGTACCGTTCAATTGTCCCATCTGCGTTATGCTTAATTGTCAACACCCACTTATATCCAACTGGTCTTTTTCTACTAGGAAGGGGAACTAGCTCCCAAGTGTTATTCTTGCTTAGAGCTTATATCTCCTCTACCATGTCTACTTTCCACTTAGGATCATTAATAGCTTCTTTCCAACCCTGTGGGATGCACACAGAAGACAAAGATGACACACAAGCATGATATGTAGGAGACA